GGGGGGGGGGGGAAGTGAAGAGATTTGGCTTTTAAGCTTTTTGTTTGTAAATTTTAGGATATACCGCATCAAATGAACGGCAGTGATTGCGGGATGTTTGCGTGTAAATTCGCGGAATATGCATCACGTCGTGCCAGAATCTCGTTCAGCCAGGAGCATATGCCGTATTTTCGTGAACGTATGGTTTACGAGATATGTCGTCAAAGGCTTCTGTAGTTGTTGTGGCCGTTTTACATCACTTTTTTCAGTTTCGTTCAAAAGGCGATTAAGCATTTGATTGACTTGTATCACCTCTATCCTTTTTTTTTCTCTCCATTTTTCGCCATTGAGGGTGATCATCTCATTGTAAATACTGAATATGTTGACTTGTAATTTTTTCTTTAGTTTTGAAGCATAGTAGTGAAAGAAGAGCTTTCATCGTGCATAATGGGAGATGGGTTCTTTTTTTAAAAATTTGCTCTTTTCGATCGTACTTGCTAGCTTTTTTAAAATTTCCTCTTTTCGGTCGTAGCTGCCAGCTTTTTTAAAGGTTTGCTTCTTTCGGTCGTAGTTGCCAGCTTTCCTATACTGTTGCTGGGAATGATGGATCGGTAGCTGTTCAGACTAATTTAATTTGCTTCGATGTAAGTTTACAGTAATTTCAATTCAAAACAGCTCTGTACATTTTTCTCAATTCAAAACAGGTCAGGAAATAGATGTGGCTAGTACACATTGACTAATATCAACTACGTTAGCCCAGTGATGCCTGAAATCGAAAGAGGAATTGGAGCTGGGTGCTAAAGGAGGCCGATGGTGGCAGGAATATATGCAAAGCAAATAACTCAAAACCTGAAAATAATGGTTTAATGTGTAGCATTTCGGATTTAATGTATAGCATTTCGGGCATAGCTTTCACAGGAAACGAGTAACACGTCTTGTCTGTAATGTTTCTGAAATCTTAATTCTGATATTTCAGTAGACAGTCCCTTTAACCCGTAGTGCGCAAAAAGAAGTAGAGCTAAGGGGCAATTTTGTTGAACTTTCAGTGGTTGTATATCCCTTATTGCACTTGGTTTTGTAATTCACAGAGGGTTACCGCCTAATTCACCGCCATTAGCAGCTGATGTGAATTCAAATTTGTCGCCTATCGTAACTGATCGTAGCCGTACGTCAACGGGTCGCCCCGCGTTTGTAACGTCGATAAATCTCACTTATTTCTTGGAACTACTGAGCGGTGGTTGTGCGCAAGAAATTCCATGGGCTTCCTTTCAAATTTTTTCAAGTCGCAGGTGCGAAAAATTAATAGAAAGTTTAGCTCATCAGTGGTGCAAAATATCTCCAGTCTGTTAATACTTAGTGTTTTTGAGGTTATTTCGTGTTAATTTTTTGAGAATTACATTATTTTTTGCTCTTTTATTATGTGAAGCAATTAAACTGTATCTCATATCACTGGTCTTAGCAGTTTGTGAAACGCCTTATCTAGTTCTTTTTTTCTTATGTAAAACTGCAGGATAAAAATCAGATTTTCTTCTTTCTGTATGATTTTTTTGCATTTGTTTTTTCTTCCCCACAGTGTTCTTTTTTGAGCAGGAAGGGTTATTTTCATTGAATTTTTTATGATTTAAATTCGGGAAAGTTAGAGGCACGATTAGATTACTTTATTTCTGTTGAGTGTGAGTGAAATACCCCGCTTCCCTTAAACGCGTGGAGGAATCCTAGCTGTTGGCTACTTCAACGAAATGCCTCCTCCTGCCCAAGGAAGGATCCGGCTTTTTTTAAACTGTCAGTGAATTTTCGCGAAATTGCTTACGTAGCCTTTATGCCGGTCATTTGCTGCGCAAAAGTTATAAAAAGACGCAGACGACTTTTGTTTTGCTTTGTTTTTGTTCCACCCTTTGTTCTGTTTTGTTCCAGATTTTAAAAAGAATAAAGTCTTTTTCGTAAAATGCAATGCTGACAATTTTTCGTTATTGCTGCGGCAAGGTATATCTGTGAGTATTTTATATTCTAATTTTAGATGGATAGTAATACTGACAAGCATGAGAACCAAGGCATGATCGTGCGTTTTTGGCATTAACTATTAAGATGAATGTTGGGGGATTACACAGAGATGGGATTTTATTATGCGTTTTTGCTTATATGAAAGTACAGAATCGCATATTGTACCCACCCCGATGTGTGTGTGTGTGTGTGTGTGTGTGTGTGCGTGTGTGTATGTGCGTGTGTGTGTATGTGTGTGTGCGTGTGCGTGTGTGTGTGCGTGTGTGCGCGTGTGTGTGTCTGCCCGGTTATTTCAACTTGACGGCCAGACACGTTCCGGCGCCAAAATTTTGCCAGTGGTTTCCCAGGCCAAATGCCACTCCAGGATCGCGGTACCAATCCTCACGCAAGTCTGGACCCTGCGTACGAAAGGATGAAAGTTTTGGCGGGAAAATGGCTAACTCAGGAACTGGGAAAGACGGAAGGCTGAAATTTTGTGGTTATGTTTCCCGTCCGCATAGAACTCGAAGATTTCAAATT